TTATACTTATACTTATACTTATACTTATACTTATACTTACACTTATACTTATACTTTTGCACCACTGTGCAGTGCCGAAGTTGATTCTCATCTATGATTAGATCGACAATTTGCAATGCTTCGATGATTCGACGCAGGGCAACTGACGACATCTACGGCAAGGCAGCCAGAACAGAAGATGAAGTTGAAGGTGAAGGAGATGAGAGGCAATGGCAGCAGCAGCGCTGGCGACAACGCACGCCGCACTCCGGTAAGCGACATCTTCACTCAGACGTTACGGGCAAACGTTCAAGCAGCCGAAACTCGCATAGTCTGTGGGGGCATTTGAGTTTCTCCTTTTGGCGGCGGGTCGGTGGATGTTGTTGGTTTTGGGTCTTTGGCTGGGTCGTTTTGTTCATTTGTAAACGAGACTCGCAGCCAAACGGTCGCGCACGCGTTAATTCCAAGAATCTCTGGACAACCATAATCCAGTTGCCTCGTTAGCCTCGCTGCCTCTACTGTATATATATATATACATATATATATATATTCGCATATATATATCGCTATATAAATAGCTAGACATACACACATAATGCCTGCCTTTCATATAGTCATAAAGCTGCTAATGCTGCGTTTACTGCTGGCCAGTTTGTCGGGTCTGTCGGGTTTGTCGGACCTATCGTGCGCCGCATACGACTTTGGCTATCATCCCAGCGCCGAGGAGTTCGATAGCCTGTTGCGCGAGACGCGCAGCTGGACGCGCGATCTGCTGGCCAGCGAGCGACGACGCGAGAGCTTTGTGCCGCGCTACAACTATCCAGAACAGACACACAAGCAACACTTGCAACACTTGCAACACCTGCAGCAGCAACAGCAGCAACAGCAGCAGCAGCAGCAACAGCAGGAGCTGGACTTTCAGCTGTTCAGCGATGATCAGAATCTGCAGCAGCCGTATGTCTATGAAACGGTAGCATCTTTGGGGCAGCAGCAGCAACAGCAACATCTGCAACAGCAACATCTACAACAGCAGCAACATCTGCAACATCAGCAGCAACATCTGCTGCCGCTACCCGACTCGGTCTATGGACCAGCGCAGCATGTGCAGAGCGGACTCATTGAGATCACTGATAATCTAGCAGCAGCAACAGCAACAAGAAACACCAGCAGCAACAGCAGCAGCAACAGCAGCAGCAGCAGCAGCAGCAGCAACAGCACCAGCAATTTTCCAATATTCTTTACGAATCCCGCCACCGGCATTGTCTATGCCATTAGCGAGGTGGGCCGCAACACCAAGTCGCAGCCCTGGCCGAGCAATGGCAGCGACAGCGACGCCATTGACATCTATGTGACCAAGGCGCAGTATGATGCCGACCTGGAAGCGCTGCGCCAGCGCTACGAGCAGCAATGCTCGCTGAAAGCCGCCGCCGCCGACGGAGCCGCAACGCATTCGGTGCTGTCGACGCCCAGCTTGAGGCCGCCGGCGCGAACGAGCACTGCCCGGCCGCAGATCATACGGCTGCAGAAGCCCAAGAAGACGGCGGCGCCGAGCGCCAGCACAGCGGCCGGGCACAACAAATTGCTGCACAAGCCGCCGCCCATAATGGTGGCCAGCGGTGCGACGGGCAGCGTGAGCGATCAGCTGCTGAAGCTGCCGACGACGACGACGACGACGACGATGGCGCCGCCGCGCACGCAGAAGCCGAAGCGAAACAGGCGCAAGAAGAAGAAGCGAAAGACAGTGAAGCGACGACCGGGCCACAGGCCATCCGCCGCGACAACAGCCGGGCCGCAAATTGTGCTGGGCAAACGGACGACGACGAGCGTCCGGCCGCCCACAGCTGGGCATACGGCCACGCAGCTGGAGAAGCCGCATATGCCGAGGCCGACGACGGCAGCGATGGGAGCGGGAGGCGGCGGAGGCGGCGGCGGCACCGTTTTTAGTGATCAGCCCTTTGTGGTGTCCAGTGGGTTCATCGAAGTGCCGCATCGGGTGAGGCGTCGCTCGCTGGATGCGCTGCCCGGCAGCTCGGCGGGCGCTCGACCCATCAGCAGCGGTCGAGGCGGGCCGAGGGGCAAGGGCGGCCGGCGACGCAGCTCCAGCAACAGTGGAAGGCGGCCCGTCCGGAAGCCGCAACGTGCCACGCCCAAGCGGCAGGAGAACTCGCCAGCGGGCGACAGTGGCTATCGGGTGCCACATGCGGTGCATCTGCTGCACGCCAGGCACAATGGCAGCGACAAGGCCGAGGGCAGTGGCAGGGGCAGGAGCCGGAAAGATGGCAGCGGCGAGGATGACTTTGATTTGCTGGAGCTAATAGCTGACGATGATTATGATGATGACAACGATGAGCACTACTTCGAGGAGGAGGAGGAGGAGGAGCAGGGGGAACATGTGAAGCGCCACAGCAGCAGCAGCAGCAAGCCGAGGCCGTCGCAGGAGAACAGCAGCTCGGCGGAGGAGGGCGCGGATTTTGGTGCAATGGTCGAGGAGCTGCCAAGTGTGATAGTGAACAACAACAACAACAGCAGCAGCAGCACCAGCACCACTTCAACCACCAGCAGCACCGCTCAGCCAGCCACAGCTGAGCCCGCGACCAGCTCAGAGGAGGAGAAGCAGGAGTCGACGGAGAGCGAAGAGACGCAATCCTCCACCAAGAACAGTTTGAGCAAAAAGCGCATCAGACGACGTCCGCCTGGCGAGAGTCACAATTCCGATGAATACTACGACGAGGAGAAAGACGATAATGATAATGACGACGTTGATGATGATGATGAGGAGGAGGAGGAGGAGGAGGACACTGGCATTGGCAGCTTCTTTCGCATGATCTTCTATCCGGTGCAAGTGGCGATGGCGCGCATCTTTGATGGCTTCGGCGGCCAGTCCGAGGAGGAGAACACGGAGGTCAGCACCAAGCCGAAATATCCCAGCTATACGCTCTACCACAGCGCGCACAGCAGCAAGGGCGACGCTGCCAGTGCAGAGGGGCAGGACGGCAATGATGATGATGCTGATGATGAGGATGACGACGACGACGACGACGATGATGGCGGCTCGCTGAGCAGCTGGTTCGGCTCCTGGTTCGGGCTGAGGCGACGCACCAAAAAGATTGGCAGCACCACAGCAATGCCAGTGGCAGCACTGCCGCGGCCGACGCCAGCGCCAGCCACAACCACTGAGCCACCCGGCTGGCTGGAGTCGTGGTTCGGCTTTGGCAAGGCCACCACGGAATCGTCCAGCGAGGAGTCCGACTATGACAGTGAGTAGCAAAAGTATGGCACTTTGGTCTGATTGAGAGGCTCTAGATAACAGGCGAGGGTAGTTTGAAAAGTTTCCAAGCTCAACGTGAATCTTAAATAAACGAAAATTGTATTTGGAAATTTTATTTTGCATTTTAGTAGAACTGAGAGGAAAGTAGAGTTTTATACATACGAGGGTGGCTTGAGAAATGTGAGAGATTTAAGTTAGAAGAAAGAGAAATTTAGATAAATTTAATTTGATTTTCTATTTTGTATTATCTTAATGAGTATATCTTTACAGACATACATGGGTATCTCTGCAGAAAATTCAAAGTTTTGTTCGTTTTGCTAATTATCTTAAAAACACTCCACTTATAGTGACAAATTAGAGCTACAATTAATATTTTTACTATTTTTCACAATAAAAAAACATTTTTCCAATTTGTTTAGCACGATAATTGACGCGTTTTCAAGATATTTACGAAAAATAGGGCTCGCACGCTACAAAAAGTAGAAATTTCTGGAGAAATATTCATGTCAAACTTTCTATAAACAACAAAAAACTATTTATTCCTTCTTTTAAATCACAAATTGTGAAGCTACTCCTGCAATTCTATTTTTATGCCCAGAATACAATGCAAATAGGAAATCAGGGTAAAATTGATTGATTATAGATCCAATAGAGCTAGTACTCTTGGGTAGTCTTTATTAAAGTGCTTTGCTTGAGAGAGGTGCAGAAGGGGTTGCTGTACATGCTCCAAATTAGCCTGCTGTCTGATAAGATATTTAGCTCTCTGTTCTTCAAGCTTGTCGAATATATTCCTTAATATAGAACCATATAGAGTCAGAGTACTTTATTTATTTACTAACTATATTTGTAATACAAATCACTAAAAATAAAATTGAATGGAGGAAAAGTTAATGACTTAAGAGGTTGTTCACTCTGCTTGAAGAGTGTATAAAACCTATTTGGAGAAAGACTTCCTACCTTACACAAAGTGAACGTAGACTCTGCTCCTCTCTGTTCTCTTTGCAAATGTTGAAATCTTACAATTCTCAAATGGTTACATCATAGCATATGCAGCAAGCCGTACTCTCAACACTTCCAATGCAAATGATCCTTAAATTACAGACGTTCAGAATCATATATCCCCGAAATAGAGCTGAATAAGTAGACATACATGATACATATTCTCGTTGGCCGAGTCATGTAATTGACAGCTAGTTGAGCACACCTCGTTGATCGAGGTGATGGCCGGCCCACTGACCTGCTCTCCGATCTAACGGCAATTTAAACGATCGACCAGAAGCTTCTGGCTCGATGGCTCAGCGAGTGTTTATTGGGTCGATTCACGCTTTCTGCACAGTCTGAAAGCGATTTAATGGCTCTCTCTCTCTCTTCCTCTCTCTCACTCTTTGTCTATCTCTGGCTCGATCGCTTGCTCAGTTAGTCAGTCAGTAAAATTGATGCGAGTTTTTCCAATTGCTAAACTTGCAGAGTGGTTTGCCGGCTGGTTTGATCCGACGCCCAAGCCAAAGACGCGTCGCCGCAAAACGACAACATCGACAACAACAACAACAACATCGACGACAACAACAACTCTGCCCACACCCCAAGTGCCCATACTGACGATTGTGGATCCATTGCGTAATCCACAGAATTGGATTGGCATTCTGGCCCATCACATTGTGAACGCAACGGCTGGCGGAGCGGGTGGTGCCGGTGGCGGTGCCTCTGCTGTCTCCAGCACCACCAAGAATCCACTGCTGCAGGCGCTGGTCACCCGTGTGACCAGCACGACGACGGCTCAGCCGGAGCTGCCGCGTCGCATCAGCTACGACAAGTACCAGATATGGCGACTGAAGCCGCAGGATGAGCCTCAGGTTCGGGCACTGGAGCAGTTCAAGAAGGGCGAGGATGGCAACAAGCTGCAGTGGCTAAAGGGACCCAGTCTCAGGTATGATCTCGCGCGAGGATTGTACATCAGCCACAAGTCATTTTGCCTATTCTTAATTCATTCATCTCTTCAGAGGCCTCACCGACGTCCTGGTGCCGCCCAAGATGCTGGTCGACTTTCAGGGCACGCTTAACTTTGAGGGCATTGCCCACGAGGTGCTCATCTTTGATGTGGGCAAGGCGATCGCCTACGAGCGCCACAAGGAGGAGTATCTGTACACGACACCAGCGGCGACCAGGCGACCCACCAAGCAGCCGAGCGCACCACCGCCCATGACCTGGAACAGGTATTACGAGTACGACGACATTTTGCACTACCTGGAGACGTTGCGCATGCGTCATACCCAGCTGATCGAGCTGATTCACATCGGACGCTCCTTCGAGGGTCGTCCCCTGATCGTGGTCAAGATCGAGTCGAAGCAAATGGCCGCCGCAGCGACCGCTGCAGCCGCTTCCAGTCACAAGCGCCTGAAGCACAAACATCGCTCCGGCCGTGCCAATGCGGTGTTCATTGAGGCCGGTGCGCACGGCTTGGCCTGGATTGGACCCGCCACAGCGACCTGGATGATCAGCGAACTGGTGCGCCTGATGCGCACGAACAGTGAGTAGAGAGAGACGAGACTAGAGTTAAGCTATATAAATAGGTAGGCACAGATCCAAAGATCTGTGGATAGAGAGGAAAATCTTTATGAAATTAACTGCAAGAGAAAGATCAAATTTATCTAAACATCAATGGTTCCTCATCACTAAGGGAGAGAACATTTAGGGCTATGTTGTATATATGGATTTGCCAAGAGTAGGATGAAATATGTATTATCTATGGAATAGCTTAGACCAAGGTAGACCAAGGTAAACAAAGTCAACTTTTTGTCTTTGACGTTCGACTTCCTCAATTTAACAATAATATAAATATCTATATCCAACTTATATCTACGTATCTTTTCAAGCCCTAAGTTTAATAGTATCTAGTAAAAAAAATAGTAATTTTCACGTATTGTCGATATATCCAATAACACTGATCAGCTGCTCAAGGTTAGTCCAATAGACCCTCATCAAGTAGAGCCGATGTCTGCTCTTTGATAACCCTAAGCTCTATTCCTTTGGGAAGCGCAAAGGATCCATAGAATCTCTTCAATGTCAGCTCCTTTATAAGCTTACGCTTTGATTTATTAGCATGCAAAACCCTAGTTCAACTCTGATATAAGTAAATTTGGCTTAAGATCTCTACCATTCTCGAAGATTGAGACACTACCACCCATATCTATGCCCAAAGTACTTCATCTTGGATAAATCCCAAAAACCATAAAGTCGGTTAGGCAAATGTATATAAAAATTTATGATTGCTTTCGGCTGAATTGGCTTGATTCAAATAGTTTGTAGTTAGGTTCTGAATTTGACATGTTCAATTTGGAATCGGTGAACGGTTAGTGCGTCAACGTCGACAGAAAAACCCGTTGACGCTCTCGCGCAGCCAGATGAGCCATGTGGGCGGCTGCTTCATTTCGGTTAGTATGGCACTCCGGCGGGATCTGTCGAAGATCTTGCGGCCCTGGCAATCGGAATATCTCTGCCTGAACGAACGGCTGCAGGTGGACTTTTTGTTAGACTGGGCGCAGCACTGCTTGGTCTTCGCATGCGGATGCGGCTTCGGCAGAACGGTTGGCCTGCATTTGCTAAGGGCTCGTTTCTTGGGGAACAGCGAAGGCTTGCAGCTGGTCGATGGGCCGGCCTTCAGGATGGCATCGGTCGCCTTGGCATGACAGCACCCGTGGCTGTGGGTGAACACCGTTATGGCAAATGCAAACACCAGCAGCGCGAACACTGTGCCCACGGCCACGTGCACATTGCGATCGGCGTTAATCAGATCCACCATCAGGTGTACGATGTAGTAGCCCAGGGTTATCCAAAATGTGAACGTGCAGATAGCAAAGAAGCTGCCGGGCAGAACAAATTGATTAGAAAGCATTGGACAAGCTAGGAGTTACTCGGTATACAGATGCTAGCTAATAATGCATCTGAAATCGAGAATATTCATCATCTGTTCATTACAATGGACCTCTATGGTAATCAAGGCAGCATCCCAACTAAAAAGCCTCGTTTAGGTCGATCTCAAGGAAATGGAATGGGATAATGGTCGGAAAACCGATTTGAGATAAAGTTATGGATAGATGGGTAGACAGTCTGACATGGTATATATTTGGGATTTGCTTGGATGGACGGACGTAAGGATGGTCTGACAGATGTAGAGGCAACCGTAGGCGTAGGGATAAGCAGACTGAGAATCGAAGCGGTTAGCAGATGTAGAAGTGGACATGGATCAATGAGATATCTGATTAGGAATATGTATTCCCAACCACGTCCACTAGATAGATGCAGAGTCACCGTAGGGATAAGCAGTCTGAGAAACGAGGGGGTTAGCAGGTTAGATATTTGATCAGGAATATGTATTCTCAATCCCATCCACGTCCACCAAATTGATGTAGAGGCAACCGTAGAAGTAGACAGACGAACGGAGGCGTTTGCAGACGCAGAAGTGGATACAGACCAATTAGATATCTGATATCAGGAATATATGTATATTTCCAACCACATCTGTGTACTAGCTTCACTCAAGGCTCCCTAGGGTTTTTTCTAGGCATAGCAACAGAAAAACAGCAACAGTACTTGCACTACTTACACCAGTATCCCCAGCATTTCAATCATAAAGGTCACAGCCGCATTGACATACTCATTGTCGCACACGCGCACGCCCTTGGAGACGCCCTTGCGGGAGTGCTTGCAGGACATGGCACAATCGTTGTTGAGTCCGCAGTTATCGTTGCAGTAGGTGTGATCTATGCAGACGGTGCGACCGCTGGCATTGAGCAGGCCCTCGTTTCCCTGCAGATGAATGGGCAGGCCGAATGTGTCTCGTCCGTGCATGAGGCTTGGGTCCACATTGATAAATGGGAGGTTGATGCTGCAACCAGATCTCTTTGGGATGTCCACACGGGGCATGCCCTCGGTCATGCTCGACTTGCGACTGTACTCCATGCCACCAAATGCCACATTTGGCAGACTTCCATGCCTCGAGCTGGGCTGCTGGTATTCCCAATGGTCGTGACCCATCCCATCGTTGCGCTCGTCCCAGTGGCAGTCGCTTTGGTTACTCCCGGCATGCGATCCTGAATCCACTGACCACTCAGTGCCCATGCCCCAGTCCCGGCCCAGCTGGTCCATGCCATGGACTCGACAAATGCTACATTGTCCCGTTTGAATCGAGCCTTTACTTAGCAACAGAGCCTTCGCCTTCTCCTTGCACTTCCTGCACGGACAGGGCGACGACTGTGATCCCTGCCGATTTTGTGACGAGCCAGACCCGCCACACGTTGGCCCAGAACAATGGCACTTGCCTGACATTGCGCGGCCCTAGCCAAGAGTTCACCCAATCGAGTGAATATTTTGAAAACAAATTTTGCCCAAAGACTAGCACTGACAGATTCTGTATACAAACTATTTAGTCAGCTCGGAGCTGAGTGCCTGACCTACATACATACATACATACATACCCACTTGGATCGAGCAAAATATGCTACATCAATTTCTTTACAAAATTTTAATTTCTTCCTGTAAAAAAATTGGGGAAAATATACAACAAGCAATCGATGAAAATCGACTAGATGCATACATATGTATGTCTATAAAATACATTTTAAGTTCATTTACTCCATGTTTAATGATTGGCAACTTATCGATTTTTATCGACTTAGCTATTAACCATATTTTGTCAATAGGAGCACATAGTGCTTTATATCGAAACGAATAACACACCATCAAATTAAAATGTATCGTTTAGTCGCTCTGATATTCACTGAAATCATAATCGATAATAATCGATTAGTACCTGATCAAGATTTATCAGCTGAAAATCAAAATTCGCTTTTGTAATCAAACAGGACTTTATCTGAAAAATATATCGATAAAAATCGACAAAATACGATACAAACATATTGATTATAATCGATTATTTATCGAATATCTAAGAGAACAATCGTTTCTTTCGCAGAAACCGATGAGGATCACGAGTTTATACGCAACACGACGTGGTATATAATGCCCGTGCTGAATCCGGACGGGTATGTGTATAGCCATGAGTACGATCGCTTCTGGAAGAAATCCCGTTCACAGCATGTGGCCAAGGCACCCGCTGGGCTGCTCGACTCGGCAATGACGTGGCTGCAGCAGAAGCGGCCTGGTGATAAGATTTGCTATGGCGTCGATCTGGATCGCAATTGGCTGTATCATTGGGGCAAGCGGGGCAGCTCAAAGGCGCCATGCAATGAGTTTTATGCGGGTCCGTCGCCCTTCTCGGAGCCGGAAACCAAAGCTCTGTCTGACTTCCTAATGGACTATCGTAAACAGATCAAGGTAAGAAGATAGCAGGGGCGTCTTAATTTGGATGAGATTATTTACATTACATTTGTTCTTCCAGCTGTATATATCGCTGCAGGCCTACGGCCAAGTTTTGTCGTATCCGGTCAAGGCCAATTCGACCTTCAACTCGGAGCGCATGGATGACTTCCTGGACGTGGCGATGGTGGGCACGGATGTGCTGCGACGCAGGGGCAGCAAGGCGCGCTACAAGGTGGACTCGGCCAACGATTTGATTGAGCAGCGTTCGGGTATGTGAACGCCAAAGATGTAAATCCAAATAGTTGCCCAATCTCTGTCTTCCCCTAGGGTGTGCGGATGCCTTTGCCGCCTACGAGATTGGCATACCCTTTAGCTATACACTCCAGCTGGCGGATAATGGGGTGCATGGCTATCTGTTGCCCAGCGGCGCCATTGAGAGCACAGCGCGTGATGCCTTTGAGATAGTTAGCGCGATGCTGGATTACATCTGAGACGATGCGATGGGGTTGTTAGAGGAGGATGCGAATGTCAACGATTAGTTCCTTTTCGACTGCGATTTGGCTACGGATACGGATTCGCATTCCTGCGCTTACAATATTAAGGACGAAACCAACGCTATATATTATATATATGTATATGTATATATGAGTACAATATATGTATATATGTATATTCATACTCAATATGTTAAACAATTTATATCTTATAGTACCTTTTTTTTTTTCTTTTTTTTTTTTTTATAAATATATTTCTCAAAATATCTGTTCATATTTATAGTCCTAATATTTATTTACTTATTAAACGTAACAGAAAAAAAAGAAGTTAATTTTAGCTTAACTTAAATGTTCCTGCTTTTTCGTTTTCAGATCGATTCCGAAGAGGCCTTTATATATAAATATATATATATACTTTGAGACATCAATAATAGGCCGAAGATTTGTTCGTAATTTTTGATATATGTCTAATAGTTATAACAATGAGAAACTTGGCAGAATATACGGCTAGTATTTAACAATTAAACAATACAATAACATTTAGTTTATATATAAATTAAGGCATCATCAATAAGGGCATCAGTGCAGGCCCATGGAGAGGCCAATTCGTTCGGAGAGCGAGGCAAAGTTTGTATAGACCTCGTTGTCGCTGAAGTAGAGACCGATGAGCAGTTTGAATTGCGCCTGTGTCAGCGGGTATGATTCGGTGGGCAGGACAATGATGGCGTCGACAGCGTTTAGTTTTTGCTTCTGCTTGTAGGCCTGCACCATTTCTAGATAATTACAGAAGGCAGCGGCACACTTGGCTATATGCCGGACCAGAGTCGGGGTTGTGCACTGTTGCAGCACAGGACGGCTAAGCAGTTCGGCGACAATCGAATACATATCGAATATAATGAGATCAGGACGCGGCTGGCAGTCGAACAATTCAATAATGCGACGCGGTGCGCTCTCAATGTCGTTCAGCGTGATGCTTATCCAGCGTTCCATATGGACGAGCGAACGCGGCTTCTTCAGTGTGACAGGCAGATTAAATTGTTGTTGGGTCAGCAGGAGTACTTTCTTTTCGTGGGACACACAATGCTCGCACAGCTGCATTAAAGCAGAGATCAGCGAAACGTTGCAGCAGTTATGCCGAACAGAGCGGGACTTACCTTTAGCATAGGACGGCTGTATTCGCCATTGGGCGACAGGAATATGTGATTCCTTGTCAACTGCAAGCATGGATATTTTTGAATGCTTGATTGTAACATATAAATGATAGTAGTAGTTAACTTACACCGTCCTTTGAACTGTGGAGCATATCTGCCGGCTTTTAATTGAGCGCTTTAATTTCTCACAGAACACAATTCTACACTTCAGAGTTGCTGCTGACACATCGATAGGCTGAACTATCGGTATTATAGTTACCGATATACCACATTTCTTTCCATTTTACGATTAGCGGGCTATCAATTCTTTATTTTATATATATTGCTTAAGAAAAGTCAATATGACGCTAAATCATTTTTTCATGTAATTATTTGTCCATTTCCAAAGTATTATATCTCATTTTGAAATTGTGTTTTGAACATAGTTAACATTGCTTTCACATAAAAATGGTAACGACTTATGTTAACGTCACTTACAAACAAACATATTGAGCTAAAAGTTCAATTGAGTAATAACAGTGCCATTTCGAGTATAACATAGTGCCACTTTCACCACACTGCAAAATTAGTGCTGTAAGTGGCCGGCAGTTGACGACTGGTGTGACCGAGATAAACATATAACTATCGCAGAGCGAGACAAATATACGAAATAACGCTGTAAACTCAACACAACCGTGCCGTGCCGACGAACGGAAGAGCGTACAAAGCGTAATGTGAGAGAATTGAAAAAAATCATCAAGTATAGAGGCCAAAAGCAAACGCAGCAGTTAGGCAAATTTTAATATTTTTGATTAATAATTCAAAATATCGCATGCTGGCTGCATTAACGAGAAAGTGAATGCAAGCGGCACGAAAATTGCGGTAAGATAAACAGCCAAACTGAACAGCAAAAAGCCAAAAAATTCAAAGAAGCGACGACGACCGACCAGCCAACCAACACTTACATACATACATACATACTCCGACATATACGCACGCACACAAACATACACACACACACGCACGCATACTCCAGTGAAAAAGTGCAAGCCGCGAGCGCTTTTGAAGGCGTGAAACAGAGATCAGCTTGAAAGAAGTTGAATCAAATACAAAGAGGGCATGCAAATTTGATTGGAGTTATTGCTATGACCAGATGCTGATGTTTGCAAACACATTTCCGTGTTTTTAGGAAGGCAACATCGAACGGCGAACGGCAATTGCCGACGACTACTGCTGCGGCCGCGATAGAACTTATACACGCACACATATACACAAGTCCACACACAGACACACATAAACACAGTCAAATACAGTGAAGCACGCACACATACACGTATATATATAAATATATATATATATATATACATATATACACCCGCGCGTTCCGCAGTGTGGAGCAGGAGCTACAGGAAGGCGTGAGGCATAGAGCGGAGAGGAAGAGGCCCGGCAGCCAGGCATCGCAGTGCTGCCATTATCTGAAAGAGAAGCAGAGGGAACAGCGCGGGTCGACAAGTTGATGCCACTGCTGACTAGCGTTACCGTTGCTATCGTCGTCGTTGTCGTCTTTGGTCAGGAGGAGGAACTCTGCATCATATAAATATCAACAACAACAACAATAACAAGAGAAGCGTATTGGCGAAAACTTTGCATTGATGGTAATGCATGCTAGAAAACCGCAGCGTATGAACGATGGGTAAATTACAATTTTTAATAACATTCCACATATATCTAACCACGCATATGTATATGTATATACTATAGAAATCGTATATCAATAGTTATGTAGTTACTAAAACCTTAGTGAAACCAATTTGTGTACATTTGATACGTCGAAAAGCCCTAAAAACTTAAACGCTAACTTTTGTTTACATATACATATATGTACGCACGTTCCGTGCTGCTGCTTACACATACACATGCACACATACAGGCAAAAATTCACATGCTTATGTCCCCGCCCCGCGAATCGTGATAGTGAACACATCTACATAGACAAGAGTGTGGCTGTGTGTGATTGTGTCAATATGTATGAAACATATGTGATTTCTGCAAATGTTTTAGTGAAAGAAAAAAACATTAATTGATGTGTTTGTTGCATATTGTCGTCTTGTAATATTCGGTTTGCTTCATTCTGTTCCATTGCGTTGCTCTCGTTTAGCGTGCTTTGGCTCATTCTCTAAACGTTCGTTTTGTACGTTCGTTGTGTCTTTCGTGTGCCGTCTACGTCAAGTTATTCACCACACTTTATGCGCCTCTCGCTCGCACACTCTCAGTTGCTCAGCTGTATTGTACGCTCTCTGCCTCTCTGTCATCATCTCTTGTCATTTACCGCTGCAGCAAAAGAAAATCGGTCCAGCCTCAATTCTTTTTGATTGAACACGAGAGCTGTTAAGGACTTAACTTGCAGCACTAGAATTTCATTTTGCAATAATTTGTTTGATTTTCATTGATTGTTCACGCATTGCATGTTTATCTATTCGCTACGAACTAACAATTCAGTTAAATCGAATCATTGGAAAATCAAATCAAATTGAAATTCTTATTTTAATTTTATTTTGTGGGTAAATATCTGTCAAACGTCGTTTGGCCACACAATTAAAAGAAAAGAAGAAACATCACAAACGCATTATTTGCGAATCTTTTCCCCATTTTCATTAGAACTGCACCGGCTGCACGACAATTGCAAATAATCAGAATAACATTAATATGGATATGAATGGTATTTGGAAGGATTCAGAATCGGAGGTCGATTCTGGCCGCGGCTCAACTTGGGGCGAAACCCCTAATAACCTGACCAACGTTGGTGCCCAGCAAATGCCATCTGCTATCGAGAATGGTCCTGAAAATTTGCCTCTTGTGTGCAACAATATAACGTATGAGTTGGTGCCCAATGGCGAATATGATCAAATTGAAGACGAGTTGGAGAAGTGTAGTCTAACGATTGACTTGTCCCAGGATGATGGTGAGGAAGCCAACTTTAATCCGGATCTTCCTCCTTCCGAACCCGAAAGCCTTGATCAAGTTTCTGAGGAAGCTGAGATGGAATCTGAGGAATCTGAGGTGGAATCTAAGGATTCTGAGGTTGAATCTGAGAAATCTGAGGAAGCTAAGGAGGCTGAGGAAGCTGAGGAAGCTAAGGAAGCTGAGGAAGCTGAGGAGGCTGAGGAAGCTGAGGAGGCTGCGGAAGCTGAGGAGGCTGAACCGGCTTCGGCTGATATCGAGCCGCCCGCATCCCTTCAAGTGGCTCAGCCAACTTACACCATTGTATATACGCTTTGCAAAAGCGTCTATGATAACAACAATAAGTTGATATCGAGCAAAGTTGCCCATACCGAAGCATATTCATGCTATGATCTATCCAATGATGATAATAATGGGGTCGAGAATGGGGACAATGGTGGATCCGAATCTGTGCTCTCCGATGACAACTATAATGCTGTGAATGAAGACTATAATGTCATTGGGCATTATGATATCAATGCCGTATGTGATATCAATGACGAATATGATGTCAACGACTATTCTAATATGAATGGCTATGCTGATGTCAATGGCTATGCTGATGTTAATGGCTATGCTGATGTCAATGGCTATGCTAATGTCAATTACAATGCTACCGTCAATGGCGATTCTGATGCCAATTACTATGGTACTGCTGACGTTAATCTCAGTGACGTCGATGATGAATTATCTGGTAATGATATTGGCGACGATGATGCTGGTAATGAAATGGACGAGGATGATGGTAATGATATTGGCGAGGATGATGTGGATGATTTGGATGATGACGATGATTTCATGAACCCTTCTCCACTCAAACGCAGGCGTTTTGATTCATACCCATAATGTCATTAATTCTAACACTGCTTCACCAACTAACAAATTGTTAACACTACAACAAATAGAAGTAGAACAAATGCTAAACAAAACAAAAATTATCACCAAAGATATATTGAAACATGAAGTGATCTAATAAATAATTAGTTTCTAACATTACTTATTGCTTTTGTGTTGCGCATGTTATTCATATCTAGTCAATCATTTATTTTGCACTTTGCTTTGCACTATTAACATAGATTACCTAAACAAATATTCTCTACTAAATGTTAACTTGAGATATTTCTTCTGATTGTTTATTTTCGCATTTTACAGGTACTTTGAGAAGCATACCAGTCACACATCCTACCAGGTGAGCAAGGATTACCCATTGACGAGAGCCCAATACCAAATACCAAACAACAAAAAAAAAAAGCATAACCCGCCTCTACCACAACTCAGCCACACTAATACTTTCTAGTACTAATAATATATCCTTCGTTTGTTAGAGATTGTTAATCAACTCATAAGCTTTCCTTTTACCTTATCTTATCTGTTTCTGCTTTTCATTTGTATCGCCAAATCAGTTCCATTTGTACGATAGACGTATGCCAAGTCCATAGACTCATGATTGTCTCTCATAGATCCATACTAGAATCCTTTCTTTGTTACATTTATTTGATCTCTTTGGTTTCTATGCACCTGGGTGTGCTGTATTTACATGTATAGAGATGGTGTGTGTTGTGGGTGCTATCATAATCATACGACAAGCATATAGCCGATGTGTTCGCTCTATATATATATATGCATATGCTGTGCATATACATTTGTATATATACGTATCTATATCTGTCTGTATGTGGTACTGACGCTACTTTCATTTGTCACCCCCCCCTCTCCAATCCACACGGCATTTTGGGCACGCGGCATTGCAGCGAATCAAACGAACTGATCTAACCCAATGTACACACGTAATTAGAGTAACACTTGGGATAGATCTACATAGAAACCTAAAACACTGGAATCAACAATTTTAAATCGAGCAACAACAACAAAAACAACAATAATAATAATAATAATTGAAAACGTGCAATCTGTTTCGAATCCTACGAGAGATATCGTAAAAACGCATCGAAATATTTAATAAACAATTTGCCTAAATGGAAAACTAGCAGAATATCAAATCATTTTTTATTAAACATTTTACATAAATGCATAATTTTGATAAACGAACAACTTTAATGAACTTCAATTGCCAGACCAAAGAAGAACAACACCAAAGAAGCAATAGCAATAAACAATTAACTTAGTATTTATTTATATAATAACAACAAATACAAGAAACAACAACAACAACACTGCGCATATTCAAAAGTAGCCTTAAAAATTAAATTGAACATAAAACTCGCATATGACTAACAACAACAACAACAACAACACA